AAATATTATTCTTAGAGCTTCTTCTCAGTATTGGGAGAATATGGAGGAGGTGATTTATGTGGCTTGGTTGTCCTGTACATGTTAAATGCATAAAGACAGTTCTTTTATATGTTTGCCTCTGGCAAATTGCTAACATGGATCTGTTTGAAATCCACCATGTTTCAATTTTAAGCTCTTTGTTAAAGGAAAGCTTAGGCTTATTGTTGTGACATAACATTGGTAGAACCCTCTTGTTTTCCTTTGATTAAAAAATACATATTCAATTAACAGGAAGTCATACATCTCTTTTTAACATAAAATTAATTACTGTCCTTTTCTTTGAGAAAAAAAGGAAATTTCATGTAAAAATTTGGGCATATATTAGAATGTCATTATTTAGGTACATATGTCACAGCTTAGCATGCAACTTCTCTAACAAATCTGGGTAGGGCTTTCCACCTGGTGTATATTACCTTCGTGTTCCCTTCCATTAGAGCATGCTTCACCTCAGTGTCTTCCATTTTTGGGTTTTGGGAGATATATGTGCACGCATTACTGGGAATGCTCTAGTGACAGATGGAAATAAGTCCAAATCCATTTTTTTCCTTAAATCAAGAAGTGAAGTACCATGTTTCAAAGCAATGATCAATGGAAAATTTGATTATTTATTCATAGAGCATACTCTTGCATTTTTCCACGTCTTCTTCCATGCTGTTTGGTAACATACATATAGCATTCATATCCCTTAAATTTATTGCTAAAAAAAAAAAAAAAACATAGGAATTGAATTAATATCACTGTAGTTGCATCCAGTTTGAAGAAGCGATACTAATGGCAGAAGTTCACTTCATCAATGTGTAGCAAGAGCAGTATGCTCATCACATGCTTCTTCTGTACAAGCATGGCAAAAAAAAAAGGAAAACATTTTAAAGCTGAACAAAACTGAAAGCTCTTAATCTAAGTATGTTAGAGGGCAGAACTGTATTTAGCACACTAAGCAAGTATATCTATCTCTTGACACTGTGTTTTTCTTTTCAGCAATTAAATTAATTAAATTAATTCAAACAGACTTGCTAGACTCCACATAGGGGTGACTCAGTCTAAGGGCTCCTCAGGAGCCACCAGATCATTCCTGCTCCATAATTAGCATTTATTGGCTTAGCCATAAGGACGAGCAGGAAGGGTCAACGGTGGCCGCCACAGCCAGGAGCGAGTCACGCAGTGCCCCAGTGCAGCAGGGCACACGCAGGGATCGCAGCTGCCTTCAGCCAGGAGTCTAGATGGGCAGGGAAGCATGTGGTGATAAGGAAACAGGAACCAGGAAGGCAAACCAGGAATCACACCACAGCTCCAAGCCAAGATCCAGCAGAGTCATCAGCGGGTAGCTCCAGAGCAACAAGGCAGGTCTGAGGTCAAGTCACGAACAGCGCAGTCCCGGCTGGGCACAGCTATGACTGCAGCCCAAGAGGAAACCAGCGCTCCCTCACCAGGGCTGTGGCTAGGGCTGAGCTCGCAGGGGCTTCCTGATGGCCCCCCCTAAGGCAGGAAAGCAGCACATCCTCACTCGGATTTGGACGAGCTGGGGCAGAGGTCATTCAAGGCCTGGGCCGTGGGGCTGTGTCCCCTGCTGCGCCCTGACCAGGTTCCTCCCTAGGCTTCCTCCAGCATCAGAGCGCTGCCCGTCTCCCTCTGTGCTGCACACTCAGGTCTGGCAGGCAAGGGAAGCCATTTCATTAGTAGTATCATGTAAGCGCCCACCAGCACATTCTGTTTCAGCGTCTGATTTCCCTGGGCCTTCAGGACACACATACCTGTTAGGGAAAGCCAGGCTTAATCTTAACCTTCCACCTGCATTCACTGCTGCTCCTGCCCGGCCAGCTCTGCTCTAATGATATTTTATTTGACATGAGCTGCCAAATGATGGTAGAGTCAGCGCCCAGTCCGCTTCCTCCCTCTGGGCTCTACATTTTGCAGACTTCTACCACGGCCACCCCCACTCTTCTCCAGGTTTATGTAACTCATTCTTTACACAAAAGCCGTTTCATGCTTTTCATCTTCTCCTGCCCTTTTCTGAACCTCTCCTTGTCCTTCTGTGTTCCTTTTTAAATGTAGAGACCAGATTTCCCTCATTATCACTTTATACACTTAGTATTTTTTTTCTGTTATATTCTTTACTCCTTTCCTAGCAGTGCTTAATAGGTGATTTGCTTTCTCTCCCACTACCGGGCACAGCGATGACATTTTCATCGAGCTCCCTGTAATAACTCCTGTTGCAACAGCTCGGGGCTCTTCATTTTAAATATGAACACAGGACAGTCTCTTCCCATATGCATCACATTTAGCTTCCCTCAATTCCACCTGCCGTGTTCTGCCCATACCCTCAGGATCCTAAGACTCTTCTGTTGTAGCTCTTCACAGTCTGCCCTTGGCTGTACTTCCCTAAATAACACTGTAGCCTTGTCACCTCACCATTCACTGCCACTCCTGGGCAAATCAAATCCCATAGACTGTAGGGCCCTTCTGGGGACTGTGAAAACTAGGGACTCCCACTGTGTTTTAACCAGTCATTTATGCCTGCAATTATTTATTTCCCGTGGAATTGCAGTGTATTTTTTAAGAGCTTTTGATGACTGGGCCTTCTGAATGACTGCTGGAAATCCAAGACCAACTTTACCTCCCTCACCCACAAGCTGTTTGACTCCTGAGAATTCCAGTTGGGCTGTTCTTCCCTTTACAAAAGCCATTTTATCTCATATCCAATATATTATCTCTATGTACATGCCCACTAATTCTGTTTTATAGATTCCATTAAACTTCCTGCTTCCAGATTTTTTGTGATGTTCTCTTTACAAAATGATGTTACATGGGACACATCCCAGGCTCCTGCTACCAGCACGGTTTTATACAAGGGCTTGCCCAGGAGAGTTTGTAATTCAACCCCTGCATTCTTTTAGACTTGTCAGGTGTGTGTGTGTGTATATATATATATATATATAGCCATCCTTTTGATTTGCTCCTCTTCATTTCGCCCATTTGTCCCATAACCTCATTTACTGACACTTTCAAGACAGAATCTTTGGTGAGTTCCCCCCAACAAGCAAAGAGCTGGCTTGGGAATCTCATCCAGCTCTGCTGGGGTGAACACAGATGTAAATAATTAGTTTAGATTTTCTGTTATGACTTTATCTTCTCCATATGCTCTTTCAAATTCCTTTTAATCCGCCTGGTGCTGCAGACTCCCTGGCAGGCTTCCAGAGTCTGAAGTGTTTGAAAAGGGATTTATTATTAGATTTTATGTCTTATGCAACTTGTTCCTCAAATTCTTATGGTGCAGTTTACTATTCATCTGTCATAGGTTAAAATCCTATTTTCAATTTCAGACCATAATTTAGTTTTTCAAAGCGTGTTTCTTGCAGAAGTTGTCCCATGACAAGGTCCTTTGTCCTTGTGCTTAAGTATGGCAGTGTTCTTTGAGATACTGTATCCTTGCAGAGTCTCCACATAGCCCTCAAAAACATCATTCTTTCAGATGCCCCTCTATTTTTAATAGCTTCTTCATTTTTAGGTGCTTGTTCTGACATGAAGCACAATATTGGCAATCTTTATTTTTTGGTTATGTAAGGGAAGCAAATACACAAGGAAGGAAAGGAGAGAAGAAACGGAACGCCACTGTGTGCCCGCAGCCCTTCCTAACCTCCCCCTTGCCTTTAGAGGGACACACATTACTGTGCCACAGAACTGCTGCTTTGGGGCAGATGGACTGCAATCCCAGTGGCACTTGGAAACATCCAGAAACAGCTTCCTTAAGAGCCAGGGATTCCAGGCTGCCTGTTGCACAGAAAGGTATCACATTTCTGCAGCAGGCTCACACTGAACATTGACCCTCGCAGCTGAGTAGCTGGAGCCTATTTAGGGCTGTGTTGCATCTTCCTCACTAGGATCTCCGCATCACGGCAACGTTTTTCTCATGTGGAGGTCTGGAAAAGCTTTCTTTCCCCAAGTTGTTTTCCAACTGGGGCTCCAGCTCCTTGTGGCTGCCCGAGCGGCACTGCAGGCATATCCATGTGTGCCATCCCGAGCCTCTCCCACAATCCTGCCGCTGGAGGCTGGTGGGGCAGCCTGCTGCTGGGTCTGCTCGGCCCTTCTCTGGAGCCATCAACTTCGCCTGCTACACGGGGAACTACGCAGCAAGCGGGACTTTGTCCCACGAGCACCATTTGGTGGCTGTGCAAGGTGCAGTTGGCCTCGTGCTCTGTGCTGCCACACGTGAGGGAAGCTGCACATCTGCCATGGCTCTTGCTCTGCTCCACGGCTGCCAACTCCGCAGGGAGGAGGGAATGGCACCGCAGCGGAGCAGGGCAGCTGGGAGCTGCTGTGCCACAGAGCGCGCGCCTCTCTGCAGCGTGGCGACGCTTCCCGTAGGGCCGGCCGGCTGCAGCGCGGAAACCCTCCCAAGGGCGACCCCATCCCGGGACGAGCCCGCATGGAGCCGGCTCCCTTGGCGCCCGTTGAGGCGCCCG